GCGAATTCAGGGAATCGCGCCTATTGGGAGCCGCTGACTGATTGCTCGCTTCATACGCCTTTCGTTTGTCCCTTTGTAAAACATGGGCCCAATGTTCCCAGCACTACAGCATAACGTTGCTGGAAAACAATGCTTCGCCAGGATGAAGCAAGGGGCAGTGACTTTATTTAGTGGCGAGTCACGTCCGCCACGTCACAGTGTTGTTAAACGGACATATGTGGCTTTTTATAGGGAGAACGCTTGCCGGGCGAAAACCCACCACGTCCTGCAGCGCTGCCGCCGAACCATTTGCTGGAACGGGAAAATCCCGAATCACCTAGCTGGCATCACGAGGAGGTTGTTCGGCAAGCCAGTGTAGCGAACTACAGTCCAGCCACCGCCTTGTACGCGCTTGATTCCCCACATACAGCGTGCTTGTGTTTGCCTGTGAAGGAGTGTGGGCCGGCTCCGTTGATGAAACGTGGCTCCCATCCACATGCCTCCCGGTCTTATTCCTTCGGGTTTACACTGGATATAGGGTTTGGTTGGACCTGCGAGTTGTGCAACGCAAACCACCCATGGTCCCTCTGTAGGCGCAGGCGTTTTGTGGCTGGCCACAGTGACAGGCAAATCCGAAACCGGATGCCGCCAACCATATATGTATATACATAAAGATATGGAGGTCAATTGGTCTGCTCATCGTCTGCCTGTCAACTAACAACCCCAATCCATGACCCTCCGTGGTCGCAACATCTGTTCTTATTGTCGCGAGTTCGTTAACAGAGTCTAGTGATGTGGTTTTAACTCACCTTAATGCAACCAAAAGTCCACAATGAGTCACCTTCCTTTACCGTGCTATCTGTGTTTGTGTACTTGCAATGCAGTCTTGTCACTTTTCTCAGTGCCAGGGCGAATGGACGACAACCGCGCCAGTACACTTATTGACAGTTGTGACATGTTGTGTAGTAGCTGCAAATTGTTTTACTCTTTACGCAGAATAGAAAATGACAAAAACCCATTTGATAGCGGCAAATAAGTGGCGAATTCCGACGCACGGTCGCAAGCGTAGACGAATCAGTTTGAAATTTCTGTATGTTTCGTTTGATTTTATCCTCGCGTATTAGGCATTAACGTTCTGGAGGTTTACGGAGTCTGAATCAATTTTAAGAAGTCCACGGTCACTTTTTAGAATGTAAGAAACGGTTGCGAAAAATCTGCTATGTCTGTAGATCAATCTTTTTAGCTGGATCTTTTGGATATGCTGTTAAAGGACATTGAAGCCAAACTTGGTTGTACATGAGGCCTCATTTTTTTATTGGTTTTCTTATTTCCGTCATTAACCGCAATCGCTCTGGAAGGACCAATGTGTAACACCGAATAGAGACAAAGGGATACCATCCAGTGCGACAGCAAGGTAGATGCGTGCCCATTAATCACCAAGCACAGTTAGATGAGATTGTAAGGGGTATGCCGAACACAATGATTATTCGGCCGTCGTTTTCCATCTGTCTGTCCGCGATATTACTGATCGAGAAGAGAAACAGTTTATTACACTTGTGTTTAGACTACTGAAAACTAAATGTGCGATTCCTTCCCTCTGCCAAGGATCAATGCTATTTTCGGAGCTGTGGCTGGTGTCTGGTGATCCTTTACGCTTGATTTAGCCTTTGGTTATAGGCAGAAATTAAGCCGGGACGGCGTTTATGACCCCTTCGGGTTTGTATGCATTTTGGGCTGTGCCATTCGACCTCACTAGTGCCCCAACTATGTTTCGACAGTTAACACAAAAAGTATTAGAAGATTTAGTTCTACGTTTTTGTTTGCTGTGCCTTGACTATATCGTTGTTCAAATTCGCGGTTGAGGAAGGCAACTGTTGACTCTCCAAGATGCTAGGTAAGCTTCGTGACGCTGGTCTGCCATCGTAAATGAAAAATGCGAATTACTTTGGAAGCGAGTGCTGTTCCTTAGGCACAAACTATCTGACAGGGTATGTGAAGTTGAAAACTAAATCGCGCGTAGTTTCTCGTGGCCAACTCCCTCAAATATTTACGTGTTTCCAGACTTTTTGGGGCTGGCATCCTATTAACGGAAATTTTTCAAAGGATTCGCCACGACTACTGCACCTCTGCGTCGGCTGACAGAGCGTGATAGATCGTTTATTTGGACCAGCGGATGTCTCCGCATTTGAAACATTGTAGGCCGCGTTCTCACTCCCGCTTATATTGTCCTTCCCTGAGGAATCCAAGAATACTGAACACTATTCTCGACGCCGATGTCACTGACAGTTGTGGACTCAATATTCTTGCAGTGCCTTGTGTAAAATCGAGAATTTATCTTTTTATTTTATTAAGAGAAGCTGATGGCCTACGATGGTCGTTACTTAGACAATTGTGAGCGGTGGTGTTCCACCACGCGTCACGAAATGTTAGTACTTGTGTACCTTTTGTAGCATCTTAGGCTACATTTGTCGGGTCGGCCATTCCTAGTCCGCACGGATCACTATTCATTTCACTGGTTGTAGAATATCCGTGACCAACGGCGTCGAATCGCCAGATGCCAGGAGCGCCTTATTGGAAAATCAGTTCACTTGCCAGTATCGTTCCGGCCGACAACAGTAATGCCGATATACTATCACAACGAGCACCAGGTAGGAGGCAAGTCTTCACGCTGTTCACTACCGGTGGAGAACATCGGGGTTCTCTACAAACTTCAGATCCGGATTTTGGCACTGTTTACTCTGGAAAATGTGCCGGTGGACTCAAACCAATAGAAAGGATGGCTAAACGCTTAGCAGCAGTCAGAAACCTATGGAACTTAAGCCCAATTCTGTGGTATTATATAACGTGTTGCTTTTGCATCCTTGTCAATGACTAAGACTCGTTTCCAATTCAAAGTGTATGAACTAATTGGGTAAACCTTTCAGCACTCTGTGGATGGATATGAGAACATACAAAACCATGAAACACTGGAGGGTACAGTTATCGTTAGAAGAAAACTGAACACGACATAATAATCCACGGTATTGACAGGGGCTTGATGCCACCCGCTTATCCAGGCCGAAGTAGGGGGTTGTCTTAACAGACACCATCCCGATGCTTGGGCTAAATAGCCTATTCGCAAGCAACACAGTGAAGTCAAGAAATCGCGCCTTCTGGGAGCCGGCGACCGATTGTTCAGTTCATAGGCCTCAGCAGATTGCTGCTGGAATGCAGTACTCCGCCAGAGGAACAATGTGCACTGGCTAGTCACATCTACCATGTTACGATGCTAAACGAACATCTATAAGGCGAACGCTTGCTAGGCGAAAATTCATCGCATCCTCGAACACTGTGACCGAACCATTCGGTTGAACGGGATGATTCCGAACCACCCAGCTGGCACCACGAGGTTGTTTGCCTATCCAGCTAGTTGAGCCTTTACATATTGAGACTGGGCATGGTGATTTGTGTAGGACCGAGGTGACTCTTCGTCACCTATTATGGTGGCCTTGTGCACAACGTTACCGCTGTTTTCTGTGAGCATTGCAACACCAGTACAATATGACGATGGACAAGTTACCCAAAGTAGTCCGGTTATGCCCATTATCAGTCCAAGACCCGAATCATCGCTTGGCCCCCGGCCTCATGGGGCTTTTGTCACTTACGAAGAGAATCGTTACATTTTGGTGATAGTCGATTGCTTTACTAAGTGATGTGAAGCTCTTTCTCCGAGCCGACACGATTATCACTGGATTGCCACTGTGAATTAATGGGTCTGTCATTTACTAATTTCGAAGGTCTACGTTTGAAAACTTTTGACGGAAGCTTGCAAGATGCATAACGTGATGAAAACACGATGGCAGCCCCCTACCGTCTACAGGGTAACGGGCTGAATGAAAGAACGAACAAGATATTTAAGAATACGGTGTGCACGTCTGCTGAATGTGATTGCATTGCGGAATGGTGTGAATGTCTTCCAAACTACTTGTTGGCTTATCGTTCATCACTGCACAATTTCCCAAGCTTCTGCCCAATTTTCCTGCAAATAGACCACGAATTACCTCCACACGCGGGCATTGTTTTCCTATGATACTCACGGAAGCGATGAATCATGATCAATATACTCGATAGTTTAATCGATAACCGAGCCGCGCATTCCAACAACCGCGACAGAATGTCCTGTCCTCTCAGCAACTTTGGGGCACTCAAGGATCCGTATATTCCGTTGGTGATTACGTTCTGTACTGAACGAAACCGGTTTTCTGCACGGGCGAATTTTCATAACCTATGACAAGTCTCTTACATTATTGTGCACAATCTAGCAATGTTTGTGATCCCAACATGTCTAACTCAAATGTTTTGACGGTCCAATACAACCAGCCTAAACCATATCACCATAACATTTACTAGTTTTATCTTCCACTCATATCCCCCATTGACGTTTCGGTGCCAGGACAGGTAGTAGCAGTTCCTCCAGAGAGGGGCAAAAATGCATCAGCAATACGCAGGTACGCGATACCGACGCTTCGCTGTCGCGCAGTCACCATCGGTCGCACGTGGGCTATAAGGATACTGAGAGTGTTACCCGGTCCATACGCAGACTCGTACTCGCGTCCCCAGATTACAAGGCAGGTTTGTGATCCTTAAGGCTACGGTCTGGCCTCCAGAGAGTAGATCAGTCACTGATATTCGAGACATTGAAAGTGTCTCCTATGGTGAGGGAATGTTGTGATAATAGTCACCGTGCTTGAGACCATTTTCGTTATTCAAATGTACATTTTCCTCGCCATTCGTTACTTGCCCTAAAGCGAACACAATCATTGTGAATGCTAACGATCTTTTGAACGAAAATCAACACCGAACATAAGCTTAAATATTTTCAATAAACCAAGCTGTGCCGCTTCCGCTCCTTTTTCCATACCCTATTCGATTTTGATCAGAATGGACACCGTTCGTGCGTTTCATCGCTTTTTTGTTTGGGCCCGTTTGCGTGTTCTGCGTTACCGCTGGGAATACAACCTCCCTATCGACTGTGTTTTTCAGCCCCACGTTGAGTTCGAGTTCCACTGCTATGAATCAATCTGCTGCCTCCGCTCATATGTCGGGGCTACTTCTTGGCATCCCACACATGGGAGCCCATGGTTTAATTGCTGGTGCAGCTCCCGTGGTTATTCCGACTGCGACAATGTCAGCCGAAGCTGTTGGAGTCCCGAACAACACAATTTATATTAACAACTTAAACGAGAAGATCAAACGTGATGAACTGAAAAAGTCTCTGTATGCTGTATTCGTACAGTTCGGTCAAATTCTTGATATAATCACTTGTGAGTTCCATCAAATGATCTACTTTTATTCCGTTTAATATTTTGCTTTTATCATTCTGATGGTTGCGCTATCTGTCTTGGCGTTAATCTTCTTTAGCTTCGATTTTTTTTATTAGGGCACCGCATAACATTAATGTTTTCATAATTCAAATCTGGTTCCATTCTTTTCCGCTAGATACCGCATCTGTTGACATTCGTACCGTACTCGTTTAAGCGGGTCCATTAGTTATCGTAGTGATTATCTGCTACTTATAAATAAATAAATAAATAAATTTGTATCTTTACTGACGGACGGTACACGGCCCCATAAGTGGGAGCGATCATTTGTATAGTGAACACGTTTCATAGCATCAAAGAAAAGTTTATTGATAGCATTTCGGATCATGATTACTTTTCCTTAAGTCCTAGACCCGCGCAACTCATATGTAAACTTTACGGATGTTTGTATCGTCAGGAGTAGATAATAAACGAAGGGACTATTAGGCTGCAAAGACACAGGATTTGGTATGGTATGTAATGACATGTAGTGGGTAAGCTAGCTGTAAACTATTATCAAATGTTTTTTATACCAACTTCTGTCAATGTTTCTAGTGTTTGTTGTGTGTCAAATATCTTCAGAGCATTGGGTATAGTGAGGAAGGTCTGAAGGCGATTTCGAAAAGTGACATGGCTTGTACACATTCGTATCTGTAGGGGTAGTTTGTTTCACAAATAATTGTATCTCACTAAGAAGAAATTCGACCGAATTTTATGACTTGAAAGGTTTTTACGTATCAAGTAGCCGCCATTACATGTGGGGTAGACTGCAGTCTTCCGTAGTTCAAGTGCGGTGTTGTCTGCATAAATTCGTTGGTTTATAATGTTGTAGAAGAGAACGAGGTTGTTCTTTAAGCGTCTCAGCCAAAGTGGATCCAGCTGGAGTTTTCGACAGCGATCATGATAAGTCAGGTTTCAGCAGCGTCCCATGAGCAGTTTGGTAAATGATCGTTGGACATTTTCTAGAGCCGTTCTGTCTTTCTTTCTCAATTGGCTGTGAAGGATAGTACAATATTCCAGAGTCGGTCGTACGATTGTCTTGAATGATTCAAGTCGTACTTCAGGTAGGGAGAAAGTTCTGGTGATATATCCGCATAGCTGCCTTGCTTTCGCAACCTGATAAAGAACATGTTCGGAGAAATTGAAAGAATTGGAGTACCTAATTCCTAAGTCCCGAACTGAATCAGGCGTTGGGATCACGTTTCTGGCAAGTATAATGGAGCCTTCTGGGATGCGGCATCTGCACCCAAGTACTTGGGATTTCACTGCGGAGAACTTCATTAGTAAGCGCTCACTAGCTATATTTAGTGCGGATAGGTCTTCACAGATGTTTCCAAAACACATATGTAGTTGGTCTGGATGAAATGAGTAGACCAGTTTGACATCATCTGCAAACAGAAATGGATGTCCATGTTTGATCGGGTCACATATATTGTTTACATAGATTAAGAAAAGTAGCGGTCCGAGTACACTTCCCTGGAAGACACCGCTGGTTATTGGCTTCGGTGTAGTGTTGCTGACCGATTTTAACGTCCTGAGTTCGATCGTTTAGGTATGAGTCGAACCAGTTAAGCAGCGGATTTCCAATTCCATATGACTCTAGAGCAGACAGCAGTGGCTGGTGTGGCACGCGGTCGAACGCCTTTTGCATGTCCAACAGAATTATAATAATTGCCATTCCTCTGTCAGTCATAGTCGTGATGTGATCGAGAAATTGTAGCTGGCATGTAACGCAGGAGCGTTTTGAGAGAAAGCCGTGCTGTGAAGGGTTGATCAGATCCAGTCTTGTAAGATATTGGACGATGTTCTTCTTGACTATTCGCTCTAGGGCTTTGGAAGCAGCAGAGGTGTGATTTATTGGGCGGTAGCTTGACATTTGATTTCTCGGTCCACCCTTGTGCTTAGGCATTATAATGGACTGCTTCCATTGAGCTGGAAAGCATCCGGTAGTGAGTAAAAGCGTGAAAATGTTTAGTAACAATAGTGCGAGGTTTTTTCCTCCGAGTTTTATAACAGTTGGGGAGATGCCATCTGGACCTGGGTGAGTTGATGGTTTTATGGCTGCGATGGCACTTTGCACCTCTCTTAACGTCACAGGGATATTGCAGTATAGTTCGGTCGTTCTTTTTGGAACTGGAGGATGAAGTGGCTAAATGTTAGGGACAAAAGAGGAGGCAAAACTAGTGTTCATGGCCTCGTGTATACAGGAGATGTCGCGCGTTATTGAACCATCGTCTAGAGCCAACGTTTCAATTTCCTGAAGTGGTTTAAGGTTTCTTCTTTTGAGTAGTTGCATCAATGCACGTACTTTCTCAGGATTTCTGATTACCCGGCTTTCTTTTTTGGTTTTGACTGTTAGGGTTAGACGTTGTAAATATAGTAAGTTCTCGTGTATTTGTAGCAATGTTGCGAAGCTGTTGTTCCTGCTGTATAGCGATTTGAGTTTCTTTAGTTTTATTTTGGCTTTGGACAGAAGCTTGAGTTCACCCCTATGTTCATGGGTATTTCTCCTTACAGTAGGTGCTAGTAGATCCACAACAAGGGCAATGTTGTTTATAAACTCATTTGTAGCCACAGTAGGGTTGTGGGTTAGGAATGACGTATTCCAATTCATGGTACTGATAAGTTCATTAAATGCGTTCCAGTCCACACGATGGAGGTTACGAATGGGTTTTAGCACTTTACTTGGTTGTTTAGGTAAATCGATAGTCATATCACAAAGCACCGTGTTGTGATCACAGCCAGGCAGTGGATTATCAATGAATGTATAAGCGTTCGCGATTCCCATCGTGAATACAAGGTCTAAGGTAGTAGCACTTCTAGTTGGCTCTCTAACATGCTGAGTCCAGCCATTGAAGTGGATACATGCGATAATTTCCTCAATCTCCGCCGTGTTTCTGAGTGTAGGCAACGTACAGTTAACATGTGGTAGGTTGAAATCTCCACACATAATTTTGGATTTGTATGTGTTGCTGGAAGCAACATTGATCATATCGATTAGCTTTTGGGTTGCAAATTGAGTAGTTCGAGGCGGCCGATAGATACAACCCACTAGAAGATCAATAGATGGGATCACTAGCCATAGTGTATCTTCTAAGTCAATGAACACAGGTTGATCTGCAGGAATGGCAGTCAGGTTATTTCGAAGATATATGGCACAGCCACCACCACGTTTGTGCGAGCGATCCTTGCGGAAAAGCTTATAGCCTAGGATGTTAAGCTGAGAATCACTAATTTCTGACGTGCACCAAGTTTCAGTGATAAAAACAATATCGGGGGATCTCATAAACATAAGTGTTGAAAGTATATCTAATTTAGGTAAAAGGGAACGAATGTTAATGACGACAGCTTTGAAAGACATTGTTAACATGGAATGAAGGTGGTGGGTAATGTTTGTTTCATCGTCATTGTACTTGAGAATGGTGTGTTGTGAGGTAGCTGGGGCACACTGAGCTCTAGATCGTACTGGATTGAATGAAGTACATACTCCAATAGTTTGATTAATCTCTGCTTCATAATCGTACGTGATAGGGGCAGGATTGGTGGGGGAGGAACTGGTGATGTGCGATAGTCCAAAAAAGAACTGACATCCATAGTATACAGGGGTGGGGGGATGCTGAAGTCGACGAACTCATTTTGCTTCGGTTTGTATTGTTGCCAATTGAGTACTACAGTGGGTGGTGGTGGGTGAATTTTGACTTGAGGTAGATAGGGGGTTGCACCCTCTTAACTGTAAGTCCTTGTGGCCTACCAACTTTTTGTTTGCTAATTCGGTATCGCACACATAAGGACTTTGCCAGCTTGAGGTCGCAGGAGTTGGAAACGTAGTCATAGGCATTGTGGGTAAGTACTGGGCCGGCTGTCTGCAACTTATCCCGACACCAGTGTCGGTTTTGCGTGTAGAGGCTTGAGGACGTATACTTTTTCTCAGTTGGCCTAGCTGCATATCCCTACGCTCTGGTGGTGGTTGCTTCAGACCTAATGAGCTTTGAGTGTTTATGAGAGAAATTCTGGCATGGCGCTTTCCTCTGTTTTTGCCTACGCCTCGGTTGGTCGGAGATAACCTATAGATTAGTTCATTCGGGTCGGATTGAGATTTATTTTTCGGGCTGCCAACGTTACAGTCTGATTTTTTGTCTCACTCGCGATAGGTCTCAGGTACAGTTACTGTAAACTGTTGTAAAGGCTCGCAGTTTGGAGAAGGGATAGGGGAGTTGAGTGTGTGGTCAGCAGGTGTCTGCGTCGTTGTATTTTCAGCTTGGTTGGTAGTTTTAGTTTTGGACACATCACTACTGCTATTTGAGATTCTTTCATCAGGCCGCTGAAGACTGAGATGTCCACCATCGCCTATATTAGACGACGCGGTTGACTTGTCAAAGTCGACAGTGCTGATGATAGCGTCAGTACTGGCTTCATTAGTAGGAAAATGGGGCATATGATGGGTGGAGGGATTTTGTTTCATTGTTAATCGTCTTTGAAGAGGCGTTTGATCGTGTTTGATAATAATATTTTTAAAATTTGTTTGTGCATCAACTAGTCTTTTACTGCGTACAAACTTAGATGCGCTCCTATCGTCTGGAAACTGTAAGAGTATCGGACATGTAGTCATGTTTTCCTTTTCTCTCAGTCTGAGGCACTGACAGGAGACTCCATCCATATTGCATGCTTTTAAGAGGGTATTTGTTACCCTGTCGATGTTCGGTTTATCAGGCACGTTAAAAATGATAACGTTATGCGATCTACGGAGGCGTTCTTGCGTTTCGGATGTAACTGAGTCTAGTAAGGAAGCAGCTGTGCTCAAACGGTCCAGTGTAACAGTTTCTGAGCCTCTAAGCAGTTCACAGAATGATAGGACTTGTTCACAGCATGTGCTGAATTCATGAAGCTTGCATTTCAGCGTGGCTATTTCTTCCGCAAGGGCTATAATCCGGTCTGTCTTGTCAGTCGGAATTATGGTAGTAAAG